CCTTTAGACACCCTTCTAACTTAGACATGAACCCACTGGGGAGATCACCTTTTAGCAAAACAGTAAGCCAAAAATTCACTGCTAACTCTGACTCACAGCAACAATATAGGACAGAGCGGAACGGCCCCTGTGGGGGTTTCCAAGGCTGTAGCTCTTTATGAGAGCAGAGAGCCTTATCTTTCTCCCACAATGTGGCTGGTGGTTTTGAACTGTTGACCTTGTGGTTTAACAGGTCAATGCGTAAGCACTATGCCACTCCTGCTTAAAACATGAATAGGTGCAGTCCGAGTCCAGCAGTTGACTGAGTGGAGCCGAGCATCCGGTCCACCATGTCATCCGAGCGCCCCTCCGTCGTAGCCCCCCACCCACCAGGCTTCGGTTGCGCTGCTGGAGAACCGGAGGGGCGGAGAATGCTCACCATCCCTGCTGCGAGGCAACGTGGTCCCCAGCCTGCTGCCCACTCACAGGACGAGGACCTTCTCTGCGACCCTGCGAGCGTCACAGGGTCCTGTCTACAAAGGCGTCTGCAAATGCTTCTGCCGATCCAAGGGCCACAGCTTCATCACCTCAAGTGATGGCAGCCCCGACATCTTCTTGCGCATCTGACGTGGAAGGAGAGTACATCCCCATGGAAGGCGACGAGGTTACCTATAAGATGTGCTCTATCCCGCCCAATAATGAGAAGCTGCAGGTGGTAGAGGTGGTTATCACCCATCTGGCCCCTGGCACCAAGCACGAGACCTGGTCCGGGCACGTGGTCAGCTCCTAGGACATGCCAGTGCCCCTTCTCCTGGGCTCGTGGGGGACGCTGGGGAAGGTGACGGGGCAGGGGGTGACAGCACCGGACGGACCTTTGGAACGGCTTGGCCCCTGCCCAGCCCAGCCCTCTCTGGTGGAAGGGACGGCTGGTGTGCTCTCAGCCCCAGTGCAACCTCTGTGATAATCATCTCTGACCACCGGAAAAGCATTAAAGGCATGTGATAAAGAAAAAAAAGCACGAATGGGCTTATAAAGTGAACACTAACAGCCACGAGGAAGATGCACCTCAGAACACTTGGTCAGACGAGACCAGAAGCACAGCATTTGCCCAAAAATGAAGCTGAGAAGGCAGGAGGGGACCGGGAAGATGGGTGAAGGGAAACATGGAGCCCCGGGAGGAAGTGGGAAGAAAGAGTGTTGTTACATTGAGGGGAATTGTAACCAGTGTCGTGAAACAAAATATACAGAAAGTATTGAGTGGAAAATGAATTTGCTTTGTAAACGTTCACCTAAACCACAACAAAATGTTCTACAAATGGGTAATGAAACCACACATAAAAAAAAACACCGAAAACCCCAAATAATAATTTATAGATTATCAAGGGTTCATGGGGGGGGGGGAGGAGCTGATACCAAGGGGTCAAGTAGAAAGCAAATGTTTTGAGAATGATGATGGCAACAAATGTATAGATATGCTTGATACAATGGATATATGCATGGATTGTGATAAGAGTTGTACGAGCCCCCCCCCACCCCAAATGATTTTAAAAACCCCAAACCCCAAACTCATTGCCATCGGGTCAATGCTGACTCATATTGACAACCCCTGTGGGTTTCCGAAACTGTAACTGTGCATGGGAGTAGAAAGTCCGTCTCTGTCCCGAGGAGCTGCTGGTGGTTTTGAACTGCCGACCATGTGGAACGCAGCCCCATGCGTGACCACTTCACCACCAGGGCTCCTCACATAGTTACACAAAAAGAAATGGGAAAGTCAGTCAGCTGACAGATAGGCATAAAGAAGAACATTCATCAAGTTGAAACTGCTGTGGAAATGGAGTGCACAAACAAGAACCAAATATTTCTGCCCCTAAAACCCGTGCTTCCCTCTTAAAGTAATTGCAACTGCCTACTAGGAAAGGTCGAGGTTCACCTTTGGTCCTAAATGCTGAGGTGAGCCTCACTGCTGTGGGATTGAGGGGGTAGAAAGTGCACCACGGCAGGAAGCCTTGTCAAAGGGCAGGGCAGGAGGAGAGAACCCCGAGAAGGCACAGTCCTGGGTGCTGTCAGCACTGACTGCTTCGGAAGCCAACAGCTCTTCAGCTCGGATTCTGTAGAACAATGAGCAACTGAGAGGCAGGACACAGGAAACCCCCCTTTCACGTGCTGGTCGCAACAGCTACAGTGCCCACTTCTGGCTTGAGGTAGTTTCCTCATGAGCATTCATCTTTGATCACGGTCTGAGGTAACTGCCCAAGACTTCTCAGCAGTTAACACAGCACGGCCAGATTCTGAAACCCAATCCCACTGGCTTCAAACTCCATGTGCAAGAATTGAAAAGAATGAGTACACATTTCCAGGGGCAAAACAGAACTCCTGGATAATTCGACCAGTAGATATCATGGAAGAGGAGGCCAGAGGGCCCAATAGTCAAGTGCAAAAAAATAGCCAACTTACCAGCATATTTTGTAGTGTTAGATTCATCCATGGACCAAAAGCAATAATCAAAGGCAAATACCTGGAGGGAGAGAATAAAATATTAAGGTTAAAAATTGATCAGCTTTACAGGAGCACATATAACTGCAAGACAAAACAAAACGAAATCCCAAACAAACAAACCACTGCTGACAAAGACAGAGGATGATTTAAACCACACTATTTGGAACTTTGTTAACCATGAGTTTTCTGTAGATTAAATGTACAGTGATCTTTCCTTATCACCGTAAGTTGTATATGAAAATAACTATGCATCCAGGATTGAAGCAACAAGACATCATCACTAGATTCTTCTCTGAAAGACATATTCAGTGACCAGGGTGGGGGCGCGGGACTTTTCTCCCACTCATCACAGCCCCATCAGCTGTTGGACAGGTTTGGCTGGATCTCCCACAGCTTCTCAAATCCAACAGGTGGGGGACTAAAATGACCCGCGTTCATTCAATCTAGTTCCTGCGTCCTGTGATTCAAGATGCTGCATTCCTAGCACCACTTAACACCACCCGAAGCTCCGCATATTTTCCCAACAACTTCTACATGTATAATTTAGTGCCATTGATTATATTCTTCATGTGGTACAATCATTATTGAAATCCTTTCCAAAATTATTCCACCACCATTAATATAAACGCAGTGCCCGTA